TGCGTATCGTGTGTCCAGACAGCAGCTTTAGAAATGACTGTCCAGTGGAAAAGGTGCAATCAGCTCTGCAACACGATTTGTATAAAGTGTGATGTTGACTTTAATCAGCAACAGTGAGTAGCCAAAGCCTGTGCCAGTACAACATGCCCCACAACAATCCATCTGCAAGCAGCTTCCTCCAAGCATGTGTGAGGCACCCAACATTTGGCTGTTTGAGTGTTCAGTTGCAAGCCTTTGGGGCAGTCAGTCAGTTTTTTTTGGCTGACTCTCCTCTGCACACCCTCTAAATCCCCCTCCTACCAGTCTTCTGCTGCTTCTGAAAGTCAGGGTAGTCAGTCTAGGATCTCCATTCTCCTAGAACAGGGAATCATGCCACAGAGCAGGGATACTCACCCCTTTAGTGAGGAAGAGCTACGGCATTTTCAGAAGAGGAAACAGCTGATCCGGTGGGAGGTGCGGGAAGGGAGGGGGAGGCACTGATTTGCGGGGCCTGCCAACAGGCAGGAGGCACTGGGGGTTGGGGGGAAGCTGATAGGGGGCTGCCGGTGAGTGCTCAGCACCCACCATTTTTTCCCTGTGGCTGCTCCAACCCCGGAGCAGCCATGGAGTCCGTGCCTATGGCCCCCCAAACTCCCAGCCAAATTTTCTGTCTCTGTTCCAAACCATGGGGGTGCTAGAGCTTCTCAATGAAAAAGTTGTAAAGATTTTTAACATGGACAAAACAATATATATTCCTCTATCCCTTTGCTGAGAAAGAGCTGAATTGTTTTTTCTGACAGTTTTCAAACATATTCTGTCTTAATCTGAATGGCAAGAAAATTTTCTGTCCAAACAGTTAAAGTTTAGCAAAGTTATAAGCATCTGAAAACAGGATCTTATAATGGAACCTGTCAGGAAACCTAACAATAGGCTTTGCTACCCCTGCCACCTATAATAAAGATTAAAAATACGACACTAACAATACTTTATTGCACCTTGTATCTGAGAATCTCAGTATTTTTTGCAAACATGAATTGATTCCCTATCTAGTCACATTTTAGATTCATGTTTCATGTATGAATGGTTTATAACAAGTTAATAAATGATTGATAGATGTCATAAGAATGTTAGACATGAGTTTTTTATATACTATAAATACATAACTAGAAGATATTTTAGATGATTATAAGACAGGATGATAAGCAATCTGACTCTGTAACAATCTTTAACAATCGATTAACCATTTATTAAAAACAGCTACTAATCACTAATTAACCCTTTTATAATCTATTCATAAATGGAAACAATGTAAAGTGTGACCCCGTAACCTTTCCTCAGTCTTTATCAACATCATCTAATTAATCCTCACAGTAGCAAGAGAAAGGTAGGTGGCAAGGTAAGTATTATCATGATATAAACGTCTACAAAGTGAAGTGACTATGCTAAATTAATACTGCAAAATACATTTGGATCTGAATTTGAAAGAGTGGAGCATGTGAAAGACCTGATGGAATCTGATTATCACACAAAAGATGACAGAAATGCTGAGTCACCAGTCTGTAATATCTGCCCATGAAGTCACACCATGTAAGTGAATTAATTAGCAAATTATCCTCCTTTTTTCTATAATTATTTGTATGCAACCTGTTTTTAAATAAATATCGCCTTACAGGTGATTATGATAGTGGTGTCAATCAATGTCATGTTGCAAGATCTCTTTGGACATGCCAGCAGGAACAGCAGTTGGAGGCCCTGGAACCATGTTAGCAAGGACTAATCTGCTTGACATTTCCTGTCAGCACTGCCAGGGCTGAATGGAATTGCACCCTCCAGCAGGAATGGAACACACCACCTGCCAGAGTCCAGCCTCTCTCATTCTGAAGGGAACAGAAACTGAAGGCATAAGGGCCTCAGACCAACAACGCCTGGAGAAAGACTTCACCTGCAGGCTGACAACAATAAACAAACGTTTCTAACAGCGGCAATAATGCCACAAAGACAAAACCTAATTGGACAGAAGACATGTTGTGAATGTATCTGGAACCTGTGTCCCAATCACACCCATAATGCTTGACAGATGAAGCCAAATCATAAATTAGAGTGCTGTTTATGCCATTACACATTTGAATCACACCGACTCCACTGTGAATGTGTGCTTTTCCTGGGGCTAGGAGAAATGAATAGCCCTACCCAAGGCTGCACAAGAATCCATATCAGAACTAGAATAAGAACGCAGTTTGTCCAGCTCTGCGCTTATTCTACTAGGCCACAGCAACTCACACACAGTCCATATTTTCCATCTGCTAAATGGGAGCAATTCCTATTACTTACGTCTTAACTGAATAATATTCACAACATAGGTGCTCAGAGACTACAGTGATGGACAACCTTACAGAAAGCTAGACAGAAGATTTGCAAAGTATTAGTAAGTAGTGGAGATGGGAATGGAACTCAGGACTGCTTGTCTTCCAAAGTAGTTCTTAACACATCATGTCTATGTTGTTTTGGTGGAACTGTTGGATTTTATGTATGTTTGTATTATCATAGTGCCTAGGAGCCGCAGCCCTGGACCAACACCCCGTTGTGTAAAAAAAAAAAAAAGAGACCGTCGCGGCCCCAAAAAGCTTATAATGTATGTTTGAGCAAAAGTGGCTACTCATTACATTGTGAAAAATGAGATAGTAAAAATTAATCCCAGTGAAGGTTCATTGGAAATCTTTTAAATTTTCTGAAAATGCAGAAGTTACATTGATGTTTCATGAACTTAAAAAAAAAAACAGACCAAATTTCGATGAATAAAAAAATGGTTATGATTGTGTAACCTAGCTCTAGTCCTGACCCCTTGAAATGTCTCCTTCCCTCCAGGGGATATCCAACGTGAATTCCATTGAATGACACTGATTACAGCCAAAGAGACACTCCCTTCTGGAAAAATTTGAACATACACTAAACTGAATATTTAACACCTGATTTTCAATTCATTCTTGCTGGGCTTCTCCTTTTGCACTCCCAATTATTTCTGGCAATGTCCTAATGCACCCACAATGGAGGATAAAAAACTGTACCTGCAATTATTTACGACCAAATATTTCAGGTTTGAGAAGGGAGGTGACTTTTTAAAAATCTGGCCTTTCTTCTTCATTTAGTTTTACCCAGATGTCAGCCAGAATTCCCCAACAGGACAGCTATAGAATTCGCATGGCAGCCTTGCTACTACAGCTGTATTTTCATGTGTATTTTGTGTCTGCCATCTGGGCTAAGCCAGTTTAAATAGGGCATGAATGTGTCAGAAGCACACTTTTAAAACATTTTTTCTGAATATTGGATTTGGATATTTTTGTGGATTAAAAAAAGGCCAAGATCCTACAAACAATTACACACCGTACTCACTGTGAGTAGTCCCACTGAAATCAGCAGGAATATTCAGAGTGTGTAAAATTAAGCTCCTGAGTAAATCTTTGCAGAATCAGGTTCTAAACTCTCAAACTGGCTATCCTCAGTAATGTTTGTTCTATAAGTTTTAGTTAATTGCACTTGTCCTTGTTAAGATTATCATTTCCTATACTTACAAATCAATACTACACTAATGGTAATGCTGTTATAAATTCATAGATGTTAAGGTCAGAAGGGACAACTGTGATCATCTCGTCTGACCTCCTACATAACACAGACCACAAAATTTCACCCATTAATTTCTGGGATGTAGGGAATTTTTCTTCCCTACGATATAGAGTCCTGATTCATCATATCACTTAAGCACATGCTGAACTACTTGTGCTTAACATGCTGTGCTGGACTGGTACATAAGTGAACACAGTTGCACCTTAACACAGTTCCTAGATAAGTGTGTTGACTTAGTGAAACCCTAAATGAGATCTAAAAACAGTCTTCTCATGTGAAATAATGTCACATTTGTATCTCAGGACCTTCAAGAGGTTCCCAAACTTTTTACTAAGGTGACTCTCTAACTGCATTTTGTTTAGATTAGTGAGCAGAAAGCAGCTGAGGAGGCTAATGGTGCATCATCAAAGCAGCTCATCACGTGTATCACACAGGTATGTGACATTTATATGGTACTTGGAGAGCTGGTTGGTTACATGTTACTTGCTCTCTTCTTTGATTCCAGCTGCTAAATTACCTTAAAAAGAAGGCTAAAAATACATTGATCACTTTGCTAATGGTTTTTTCCATGTATGGAATTTCTGTAGTTGCTAAAGGGAAGATACCTGATCACACAAATGTGAGGAGAGGTCCTTATAAGTAAATCTCTCTGTTAAGCTCTGGTCCATACCAAGGAAAAGTTTTTGACAGCCCCTGCTCCAGATGGCTGGATAAGATTTGTCAATGAATTTCTCTCTTGGCTGTCCTGTTGAAGAATTTGCATTCCCCTAGAGCAAAGTGTACACAATAACTGGCCAGATCTGCAGACTGGCGGACCATAAAGGGACCACTGTTTAAAGGAGTTCATTTCAGATCACTTTATTTAGCCAAGCCTTCTTACAAATGACCATTATACCAAGAACTCACTATGACAAATCAAGGGCCCTAATAATTATGTGAATTTCTACAGCAGCTTCCAACTAAAGATCTCCAGGAAACATTTCTAAATTGCTTCTCTAAAACATTTTAGTAATACATTATTAAAGTCATCATGTCAACACTATTTGTTGATGGGGAGAGGGGAGTGGCCTGAGGTGGCAACTGTATAAAGGGTTCTGGGGGCTTCTGAAACACAGAAGATAGTGAGGGCCATTAGAAGGCTCGCAAATTATTTAAAGAGATACAACCCAATTCCTATACACCTCAGTAGATAGAGAAGAGGCTTATCATTAGGATACAAGGGAGATTTACATAACGCCCTTTCTGTTGAAATGAGATGTACATCACAGGGATGTTTAATATGAGTTACAGGCAGCTCCTTAGAGAGAAAAATCATGACTGCTGTTGAGCATGCCAATGAGATGCAATAGCTGTCAAAAATATCGAAGTTTCATCAGAAATCCACCCACAAAATGGGAGGCTCATGATGCGTTTCTCTGCAAAAAGAAGAACAGCAGTTTGGGTAGCTGTTGAACATGCACTGAATTAGAAAATCCAATAGACTAATGGAAACCAGCAGGCTCCAAGCTCATCATTGTGCCATTACGTGATGGGCAGGATGGTGAAAGGATCCATTGGATATTAGTGCATGTTTGTGAGGGAGCTAACAGGACCATATGCAACACAGCAAGGAGGGCAAAGTAGCCTGCATTAAATGTTTGACTCTGAACTGCCAGAAATGAAGGTGGGATCAAGTTCCAGTCCTACCCACAAAACATCAAGCTAAGCCCATGAATGTTCACAGACACAGAGTGAAGCCCGTGGCCTCTCCCAGCCACTCTGCTCCTCTGCCCACAGAGACAGATGGCACCCTATACTCCCTGCTGCAGAGGTGAGGGAACCACTGGAGGTTTCTGTGGCAAGCATACGCTCTTTCAGATTCCCCATGATCCCCTGCTATCCTGAGAGGCACTGGGGCTGCAGTCTCTTTCAGTCTAGCAGCTGGCTGCAGAGGGTATGTTTAGTTTGCTGTCCTGTGTGCACACTAGGGGCAGGGACAGGGGAGGAAGCAGGTAATCCTGTTACTCGCTGCCAACCCAGAGCTATGTATAGCTTTGGTGACAGTAGTCCTTCGCTGGTGGCCTCCCTGAAGCTGGAATATGGTGGGATCAGCCAGGCAGCAGCACCCATAGAGCCCTTTGAAGGAGCCAACTGAACCAAGGAGTGAGCATTAAGGGTGCATGGTCAAGCCACTGCCCCTCCTCCCCAGAACAGACAATAGCAGGTAAGTCTGTACGGGTACTTAGGGAAGGGTATGGAGGAGGAAGGGAATTGCCTTAGAGAGTTGGGTTTTATGTACCCAACTGACCTTCAGAGAAGGCTTTGTTACCACCTCCTGCTCTGCAGGGATTGCAGGGCTCTTCCTAGGACTCTGCTCAGTTTCCATAGAACCAGCTCACTCTCATGGCAGTCCAGCTTGCAATAGCTACAGGATCTGGATGCACAGGCCTGGCTCCCCAGACTGGACTCTACAGATGTCAGAGAGGATGCCTATGTGTGTAACAGAGCGGAATTCAGCCCACTAATTTTAAAGCACCATTCCTTCTACCACCGCTCACTCCAGTATATTTAGAAGGGCTCTCAAAATTTCACCCTGCTGATGGATTTAAATTATGTGTGATGGTATTGCCACATATTTACCCCAATTTACTTTAAAGCCTTCCAATTGGCACCTATTAACCCTAAACTATGCAATCTCACCACGTTTGCAGGATTAATTGCAATCAGAGATATACTGTACAAAGAATTTTGCAAAATGTAGCTAATAGATAAGTAAAAAACTTAGTTAACATTGGGGTTGCAGGAAGAGACAATAGCTGCAATTCAGTTAAAAATGGCAGTTATCTCAGCTATAATTTCCTCATGTACAGCATCACCCTGCCACTTTATGCCTTTTGGGATTGGATGCCCCTTGTTCTTCAATCATCAGTCAAATGTAACAAAGGGATGCCATCCCTTACTACTAAAGATCAAGAAGTCACCAGATGCAACAGACACTACCAATCCACAGCTTATAAAACATTTACACTACCTCCCTTCCTTTTTACAATAAGGCAACCTGCACGCTATGAATTAAGATCCAGCGCTGTTGTTTGTTCACTAGCATCAAAGGTAGCCAGCATCCCTGCAGTCTGGAGGGACATGAGGGCAGGGCCAGATTAACATGGGGCTTTAGGGGCTGCAGCCCAGGACCCCAGGCTAAGGGGGGCCCCAGCACACCAAGTCTCAGGCAGGCTGCCTGCATGCCCACGCCACACCCGGAAGTGGCCAGCTGCTGGCACATCTCTGCAGCCCCTGGTGGCGGGGGACAGCTCTGCATGCTGACCCACTCCGTCCCCACAGCTCCCATTGGCCAGGCCTTGCGGGCATGGGCAACACACAGAGACACGCTGTCCCCTTCCCGCCAGGGGCGCGCAGAGACATGCCAGCAGCTGGCCGCTTCTGGGAGCGCAACCACCTGGGAGCCACCTGTGGGAAGTGCCTCCCGGCCGGAACCTACACCTCACACCCCAAACCCCAGCTGCAGGTCAGAATCTGCCTCCTGCAACCAAACTCCCTCCCAGACCCTGCACCCCCTCCTCCACCCCAACCCCCTGCCCCAGATCAGAATCCCCTTCTGTACCAAACTCCCTCCCAGAGCCCACCCTCACCCTCTCCTGCAGCCAAAACTCCCTCCCAGAAAGAAACTCATATAACAGCTGTTCTAAGGTAAGAAGTAGGGAGGTTTGAATTAACTTAACTATATTCTACATGTTTTAAGACTGAAATGTGACCACAAAATGGCTTTATGTTAATTAAAAGGCAAGTTTAGTATAGCGTTAATAGCCTCAATGCGATAATTGTGATCGTTTTGTTTTAAATTAGGAAAAAGACTTTTGTACAGGGTCACCACAAAACCCAATAGCCCTGGGCCCACAGGAGAGTTAATCCGGCCCTGCAGGAGCGTTTGAACAAATCTCAGAAATCCCACGAAGGGGACACCACACATTTCAGTCAATGCTATTGCCATCAAAAAGCAGCAATGAAGATTTCACTAAGTCATGTGAAAAAGGAACTTGCCCACTTAGAACAAAAAGGCAATGTAGCCACAAGAGCATACGAGACACTGGAAAAGGATGAAACTCTTCAAGGCACTGAATTTAGCCGTATGGAGTGGAAATCTATCAACTTCATGAAATTTGTTAGTCTCTAAGGTGCCACAAGTACTCCTTTTCTTTTTTCATAAATCAAGCATCAAAGGGATTATAGGATTTCGTAATTGTTTCAAGTAGTTTAGAGGATGTAGCTGCAGTTAGTATCTGCCAGCCAGCTCCCTATTGTTTATGCTGTTGATGCTAAAGAGCACAAATTATTCACTTTAAAAGCAAACATGAAGCCAAATTTCTCTGGAACCACCCTTCTCTGGTGGAGTAATAAAGAATGGAGATGTGTGCTGATTCCATGCTTTCCCCCACTTTTTCCCTGTCTCTCTCACACACACATTTCGATAAAGACCTGGGAAGCTGCCTCTTTGGACAGTGGAAACTTCACAGAAGACCCTTGAACAGCCAGGGAGGCCTCCGTGACCCCTTAAACACCCTAGTAAAACCTAGGGTCTGATGGTATATAAAGCTAAATCTGAACTATTAAAAGGTGCTTCAAGGAAGCTTTCACCAAAAGGGGGCTAAAATGTTCACTTATGTAGTATTTTCTATTGTTTCTATCCATTTCCCAGGGCAACCCTACAATGATGATACAGAACCACCAGCACAGTTTAACTATGTTATGGATTTAAATTTTCACTAAATCCAACTAACAGAGTGAACTAATTAAGGCTCAGTCTTGGAATTCTTACTCACATGGAATAGCCCCACTGAACTCATTGAGAGCACTTGTGAGAGGAAGAGTCTCAGGACTGGATCTTCAGTCTATTTCAGCCACAAACTAGTGGGCTTGATGCAGGAATGGCTGGGTGGATATTTTTTTTTTTTTACTTGCATTATGCAGGAGGTCAGACTAGACGATCTCCAGGGTATTTTGAGCCATAAAAAAAAAATCTTTGCATGTCTAAATATGAAAAGTGTAACAATTATTGTTACTCTGTTACATTAAAGAAACTGTGGTTTGAAGGAAGACGCATATGCAAAATAAATTGTGTGTATTTCCTAACGCATGATATAAAAACTTACTTTTCTCTGAATCAGAATTAGAGTCACTTTTCTGTTTCAAATAGTGTCATAAAACACTGTTCCATGAGTCACCATTCCCATCTCACTATGTGATTCAAATAATAATTGATACTTTGAATTTATGCAGTTCTGAGGAGCTCCAAGTGTAGGGAGTAAGTATTAGCATCCCTATTTAACAAATGGAGAAAGTGAAGCGCAGAGAGGTTCAGTGACTTGCGTATGATCTCCAGGACAATCAGTTGCACAGGTGCTGGGATAGATAAGTGTCATCCCCCAGTTGTCCATTATCTGTTCCTTTCTCATTTCTTAGATCTATATATAACCTTGTATTAGCTGTGAGCACCCTCTGATTTACTGAGGGTTGCCTGCTGAAACATTTAAGGTGCTGGAGATGTGTCATGGTTCATTACTGCTCACTTTGCAGTACCTCTTCCCTGGCGCCCATGAGCTTGTGGTTTCACATCCCACTCACTGAATTGGGCTTAAATCTAACATTAACACCTCAGCACAGGGTTACGGGGATTAGTAGAGATGCCACCCTTCAGATGAAAGGCTAAACTGAAGTCTTTTCTGTAAGCCATGTAGGAGGAAGTTAAAGATCCCATTGCTCCTTTCCAAAAGATCTTGAGATTACCCCCAGCATCTAGGCCAACAATTCCCCCTTCAAATAAAACAGGTTCTAGTATCCAAAGCAGATTGGAGCTATGGCTGAGGACTTAAGAACTGACCCATTGTATATTTCCTGCAACGTCAGTATCCAGTGCACTGTTTTGTCATGTTTGACAAGTGTTATATAAAACCAAGGGATATTTTATCATATGAATATTATGTTTTAAAAAGTTCAGCAATGCTTTCTCTAGACTTGTTTGGTTACTTACAATGGCTGGACAGCTGTGAGTGCTGCTTATTACACTAATCATAATCATCTCATGGTCACCTTGTGCTCCCCCTCACATGTTTGGTGAAATCACCTGTTATCTCTCACCACATACTTCGACTGGAAGTTCTTTGGGGGCAGGGATTATCTTTTTGTTATAAGTATATATACAATACACGTCTAGCACAATGTGGGTCTGATCCCCACCTGAAGCCTCTAGGTGCTATTTTTATATTTAGGAGAATAAATCTTTCATGGAGCCTTGAATTATATAGCAAATGGCCACAAACTGAAGACCCAACGCGCACACACACACACACACACACACACACACACAAGCACCATCATACCATTAGCTTATTGACTCTTCCATGTGAATAATCCATATTACATTTTTAAAATTAAGACTTCCCCATGCAGGAACAACAAGCACTCTGTTAGGAAAGATGCCCAGAGGGGAATTCATAGAGCTAAAAAAACCCACCCAATCTGCAAAATAAGCAGCATCAAGAGCCAGCTCAAAGAGAAAGATTAGAGAGGACCATGTTCACCTTTCTTCTTGTTGTACTCATCTTCTGTTTCATTGGTGGAATCCGTGTGATAGTCCCGCAGCTCCTGTTCATATAGCTCTGCGAAGCTCAACTCTTTCTTTCCTTTCTTGGACTTCTCACCTTTCCCCTTCTTCTTGTCCAATTTCTCCTCTTCCTTCTTCTTCTTCTTCTTCTTCACCGCGCCATTATCCAATGCCTCCCTGGACTTTGATTTCTTCTTTTCAGAGGCCTCAGTGGAGGAGGATTTTTTCTTTTTTTTGTCATGGATTTCATCTTCCTCATCTTCCTCCTCCTCTGTTGCTTTATTCTTTTTATTCTTCTCTTTCATGTCATTATTGTTCTCCTCCTCACTGCATTTAATATCACACGCGACTATCACCTCTCCTGGATCTCTGCCACTCTTCCCTTGATCCTTTACCTTCCAATTTGTTCCCTTTTGATTTATTTCCCTAACTCCTTGTTTCTTTTTCCTCCTATATCTATGACTGGGATCCTCTAACTCATCAGCATCTGCGTCCCTTTTCTCCTTGCCAGCTAAACTTTGGTATGTTGTAAGCTTGCTTTTCTTTCCTGAACCACTGCTCTCATTAGCAATTGGTCTGCCCTCTTCTTCTAACGCCTCCTGCCTCTCCTTCACCTCTTTGACCCATGCACCTTCCTCTTCGTCCTCTTCTGTCTCTTCTTGCCTTGGGGTTTTCTTCTTTTTCGGTGACATTACTAATTCATTGGTCCATCTTGAGAACTTTCTGTTTTTAGAGCCCTTTGGCTCTAGATGAGAATCACATAACGATCTGGGTCTAGGGTATCAGAACTAGCCAATCAAGGAAATGGTTCTTTGGAAAATAGGTCAGGCAGGGCCACATGGTCAAACCCTTCCTTGTCCTTAGCATGCATGCAAGCTTAGAAGGGAAAAAAAAGTATGCTTTTATCCCTTCACTGCGTGAAGCAGTTTCAGGAACCTCATGAAAAATTACTTACTGATACTAAGGTCATGTGACCACAAGACAGACAGATAGGTGAAAAAGGAGACCCATCCAGTTACCTTACCCTACTGGTCTGCATTTCCTCTCCATTATTCATGGTGTCAGGATCAATTTACAGATGAGAGAGGTCTCAATTTTACATGGATTTTTTTTTGACCAGTCCAGATATCATGACAATAGTGACCAGGAAAAGCAGCACAGGTGCCTTCCACATGGAGTCCTACGCAGCACGGTAAACCACTCCAGGATCCCATTACTCTGTTCCCTAGATTACCATGCCATGTTTCCAATCAAATTAACATTAATACTCAGCAAATTAAATAGAGTAGGCAAATGAAAATGCTTTGTTTGCTCTACAGTGCCCTTGTAATGACCTAACTTGGCCAAGCCCAAAGGAACAAATGGGCTGGTTTAGCAACCGGACATGGGCACGTGCCACTCTGGTTGCTATCATGGACAAATGCTGCTACAGAGGGTTCAAGGGAAAAAAGAACGAATAATGGCATTACTTCAAGGTAGAGAGGATGGTGCAACATAGACTGTTACCAGTCTTGTTTGTTTTATGCTAAGCCAGTACCGAGGAGTGCCTTTTTGTTGTATGCTAAGAAAATTTAATTCTCCATAGTCTGTACCTTATAACTAGGCTTGGCAGAATTTGATTTCTTTTTATAATTTCAATGGATATCAATGTTTATTTTCAAGCACTTTTTAGATTTCTATCTATTTAAATTTTCATAGTTGCAGGAAATTATGGGGGAACAGACAATTATTTAATGACAGCAGACACACTGATATTCAAAAAGTTAAAACTTTATAAACCAATAAATGTCACATGACAAAATATACAAAGTAAATATTGTTAAATCAACAAATCAGATCTTTTTACTATTCATTCACAAGTCCATTTGTAACAAGGCTAATTCAAAAGTCTATATCCCTGTATTTTTTACTCTAAGTTCTCAAGCAGCACTTTTCTTACTTTGCTTATCTGTAAATGTTTATAATTATCAATAATAATTTTTTGTCAGTTTCTGTGAGTAAGGTGAAATTGACGTTTGCTGACATAAAAGTTTGATCATCCCACGCCTGCTTACTACAGTGCAAATCATGCTGTCATTCCAGACAGCAAGTCTATTTTAAAATCCATTCCCTAATACAGTATATAAGAAAACAACAAATACAGTAATATCAGTCTGCATGAATGTGAGTTACAGTCAAGAGTGGATGATTTAAGGTCTGGCTGCAGATGTAAAAAGAAAGAAAAAATCTGATCTTGTCTTTTATAAATATGCTTTTATTGGATTTGTCATAGAAAGTTTGCAATTTAATTTAAAAAATTGTTATATGGAAAACTATATTCAATTTCTATGGTATAGCTGTAGCTGTATGTAACAAAGCTTGCTAGTTATATGGGCACTAAATCATATTAATGAAAGGACCATGAGCTAAATTTATGACAGGTCGGACAGTAGTATGATAGGATCATAATGAGTCACCCACTACCATCTGCTACAGTTAAGATAGAACGCACTGAATTCCTGCAGCATAGGTGATTTATCAAATTGTGAGTTACATGTGAGTTAGTTGCAGATACACACCACAGACATTCATGATACAATATTAACTAGTGCTTGGTAAATCATTTTTATTTTCAGTGTTAACAAATAAAACAATGAAATGCAAACAGATATACAGCCAGATTCAGCTTTGGTATAACTCCATTTATGTCCACAGAGTTGCACTGAGGGTTAATTTGGTCTACCATGCAGATTATTTACACAACAAGCAATGGTTTATGCTGCCAAAGACAGCTCCCAGTGGAGTATGGTGGAGATGTGTTTTTTCTTTTTCATGAAATCTGATCTGGTCCAGAGCCCCAGCCACCTCCAGAATGACTGGGATGTCTCTTATCTGTAAGGTGATCCTCACTACCTGCCTTGTAAGTGTTACAGCGTGACACAAATATTTGGGGGCTTTTAAAAATGCAACTCCTATAATTGGTGCACCACAGTGACCAAGGCAAACCCAAGTGGAAACAGAAGCATATGCCAGTTGAATTATACACTCAGCCTGACAGCAGCTCTGAGCTCTGTCATGGTGCTTGGACAGAGTTGTTTTTATTGCACACATTACTTTAAAAAATAAGCACTGTGCAATGTTAAATCTTTAAAAAAAACTCACCTATGGTAAATTGAACTTTTTATTAGCCAAACTAGAACAGGAAACTGGCATGAATTGAACAAAGAGTCATATGGGGAGAAGTCTGGTTTAGAATACATCAGTTCACACCAACTGCAGTAGATTAGCAGACAACAGGTGAACCATTTAAATGGACTTTTCACAAATGGGGGGGGGGGAGAAATACTGCCAGGGGACAGCAGAAGGGGAAGAAGAGAGAGGTGGAATCCTGTATTGAGAAGGGAAGGAGAAGAGACAAGGAGGCTGGTGCAAGTGGGATAAATCTGTTCCCATGCAATTGGCCCAGTTATGTGGGTATGCCATTTACCAGGTGTCCATGAAGTATACCATTTCCATCAACTTAAGAGTTACTGAAAAATGCACTGGACTCTTTGATGGGTCTATTGCTGAAAGAACGCATTACTATTAAATATTATAGCCTAGCTGGGAGCTATCATTGAATAATGTCCTTTAATATATAGAGTACAGACAAAACTGAGTATAATGGGTTTCAAAGGTTTAAACAATCTGACTAACAGTCTCTTTCCGCCACAATAGGTCAGCTTTCACTTGCTGAGCTCTTGGGATGTCACCATCTCACTAGAAATGTCAGGCCTCCTTTATTCCTTGTTAAGAACAAAAAACAGTCACAAGCCCATTCTCCCTTCCCTCCCTTTTGTAGATCGCCTTTAACTAGAAGGGAGTAGATCCTCATCTGGCGTAAATCAGTATAGCTGCATTGATGTTCAAAGGAGCTGTGCTAATCAACTCGAGTTGAATGTCTGGATGCTGGAATGCAATTCTGGACCCCTAAAGGGACTGGGGATCAAACAAATGTTCACTGATGAGCAATTGTTTTGCATATGCAGTATGTGTGTTATCTAAATGATAATGAAGCTTCTACTCATATTTATTCCCTGATATAAACTGACACCAGCCCACTGTATGTTTTGCAGGTATAAACATCTCAGTTTAAAATGGACATTGTGTTTGTGTGACTCAAAATGAAAAAGAAACCCCTCAAACCTACAGGACATCCAAATAATAAAAGCTCATTTCTTTTGTGATTTCATGACTTAAGATTTGAGCACTTCATCAGGCCACGTATTTAGGTGCCTAAAGGTGGATTCACACATTCAGCAGTTTTGGCTTAAACTTCTAGATCTCAGGGTTTGTGCAAGGAAGATACTGACAACCCTGTAATGAAGCACAGATTTTAAGGTCAGAAGGGATCACTATGATCATTAGGGACTACTAGTCAAACTAAATGATTATAGTGATTCCTTCTGGCTTAAAATGCTTTGCCCAGTGTTGTCTACTACCATACCATATGTACAGCAAATAACTTTGTGTTTTCTAAAATAAACTTTCCCCATCTGCCCTTTTATTTACTTCATGTGGTTTCCTGCTCTAATCTGGCTGCTAAAAATCCAGATGACCGTAATCCAGTTTTAACAATGATTTGCTAAGGCCCAGTGCACATCTCCAAAAGCAATTCAAGACATAAGAGTAACTCTGTCCCACCACTACACTCTCCAGAGCTACTGCTGCCAGGATAAGTGTGTAAACGAGCTGACATAGTTCCATTTCCACCCTGTGTTTGTCAAATCCCCTGAGATGCACCAAATTAATCAATTTCTGTTGGGGATGATGAACATCTGGGTGGTGACCACTGGGCTAACGATGTAATTGGGAAGATATAAGTGTAAGGAACAGGAAGTAATGGGGAAGGCGCAGAAGGAAATCTCAGAGGGTGGACCTGAGGCTGAGGAGTAAACGCTGCGTGGAAGCTTCTCCTTGCTGTAAGACTGCAGGACATTGTGTTACTTTGTAAGGAAAGAATAAATACACACGTGGTGACAAGGTAACGACCTGCTGTGTGTTTGTGACAGGCCACATGAACTGCCCAGGCAGTGCGGTACACTGGGTAGTGACAGAGGCGCCTTGTGACACTGCCTTTTGGCACAACAGGCTCGCAGGCATAACAAGAAAGATGTTTTATATTCCATAGATTAAACTGCCCGCAGACAGTGTCTTATGCTTTTCAGACATGTCGTGAGAATGCTGCAAGATGTTCCAGTGAACGCCATTCTCCGGGTAGCCTGTAACATCCGTGATAAAATTCTACCACCCAGGGCTGGAGATGGCCCAGAGGAAGACCCCCTATTACATGGCTGCATCAAGTCTATTCCATCGTTGGACTCTCGGTTTGTGAAGCCCTTGGGGCCACACAGGAACAGACCAAATGGTGAACAGTTGTGATGGCCGCCTGTTTGGCTAAGTGTTGAAGAAGAAGATTAAACTAACACTAACTTGGAAAAACATTTAGTATTTTCTGTCTCAACTTGGTACTATTTTACTTTTATAAAATTAAAAGTAATATGCTGAGACCACTCCAGCATCCTTTGGTTTTTCTTTGAATATTAGATGGAAGAAGTATAATGGGCTTTAATGGAGCATAAAGAGCTACTGGGAAAGCTACCAAGCTATTGGTGAGAACCATTAGTTAAAACTGTCACCAGTATTTATACCGGTTTATGTTCTTATGGTGGATTTCAGCAAGAGATTCCCTAAAAAGGGATCTAGGACCAAATTCTGCCAGAATAT